AGGTTCTTGGAAGTGTAAGCTGGTGAGATGAATTCCCCATGAGTTAGTACACACTCACACACATGCACATACACGTGCACACAGAGGGAGACAAGTAATAGGCAAAGAAGAGCCCTGTAGTGGATTGAATTGTGTCCCCCCAGAGAAAGGTCCTAACCCCAGGGACCTGCGAGTGTGACCTTATTTGGAAATAGGGTCTTGCAGATGTGATCAAGCAAAGACGAGGTCGCCCTGGAGTGGGGTGGGCCTAACCCTAATGTCAGGCGTGTTCAGGAGAAGGTCAGAAGACAGACATACAGAGGAGGAGGCCGTGTGCAGATGGGGGCAGAGACCGGAGTGACGCGCCTACCGGCCGAGGGGCCCGAGGATGGCCAGTGCCACCAGAAGCTGGGGGAGAGGCCTGGGACAGATCCTTCCCTGGAGGCCAGAGGGAGTGGCCCTACCCACTACCTTGATTTCAGACTTCTAGCTTTTGGGACTGTGAGAAAATAAATTTTGTGTTAAGCTGCCTCGTTGTAACTTAGCCGTCCTAAGAGGCTAACACGGGGCCTTAGGAGGGGCAGGAAAAGGAAGAAACCCCTCCCGTCTCCTGCCGCCTTTGCAGACTGGCGTTTGAACACAATGTCCTATTTGCCCAAACATACATTTATCTGCTTAAACATTTGCCACACGGCCAGCGGCCTGGACTTATGTGAAGCACCAGGGTTACACTGCTCTGCTCAGAGGCGATACCAATGTCACTACTACGCCCAGAAGACCCTGCAGGATCTGGCCCCGCCCTCGTGCTCTGACGGAGGCTACAGCTCTGGCCTTTGCTCAAAGCCGCGCCAGCCACCCGGCCCTCCTGCTGATCCGTTTCTGGGAATTAGGATGTGGCTGTCTTTGCGGGGCCTTTATTCATCCTACCACACACAGCAAAGCAGACTGTTGATGCTTAAGATTTATTGGGGTGGCTTGGGAGGGGGGGCGTCAGTGGGGATGTTGGGAAGGTTCTCCTCGGAGCATCTCCAAGCCGGTGCCCTCATTATTAATATTGTTATTGGTGACCCAGAGAGATCTGAGCTCCCCCTCTACAACTGGCGAGCTCTACAGACACACCGTTGGAAGGAATATGGACACACACACACCAACATAATTCATAAAATAGGGAACCCCTCTGAAGACGTTCACAAGGGAAAAATCATCAGAAATCCCTTAATAGGGAAAACGTCACACAGAGGAGGTAGAGGGATGGGTCCTGAGCTAAGACGGCAGTTTGGAAAGAGCTTAAGGACTTTCTTCACGAGGGCTTCGTTGAAGCAGATAAAACAAAGATTCTTCTTGCCGGCAGGTTCAGGACGTGGACGTTCCAGCCATTCTCCTGTCCCCAGGAGCACAGGACAGCCCTACCCACCCACCACGGCCCCAGTGCACAGGCCAGCCCCAAGAAATGCAAATCCCCAAGCATCACGGAAACACGACTTGCCCCAGGGTCTCAGTGACAGAGATGATGGGTCATGATTTCAAGAAAGCGGACCTCGTGCTTCTGAGATTCCACACAGAAGGAACTACCTCTGTTTCTCTGTGATGGAATCAATACGGAGGCTGTGCTTACTCTGTTTGGTTCCCAGAAGCCTGGTCCAGGAACTCCTGGAGGATGGGACGTGGTCGGTGGGGGCGGGGGGGAGGGCGGAGATAATGGCCGTATCTTTGTATCCTTATTTCTCCGCGTGGGAACCCACCTTCCCTGCACCGTCTCCCCTTCCCAGTCCCCACGCGGGAGAAAGAAGGGCTGAACATCCCTTCAACCCGGCCAGCCCACTCTTCCAAACCCGTCTGTTTGCCCACGTGAGGCCCACGCGGAGGCAGCCGACACTGGGCTGGGATGTGTTAGGATTCTGCAGAGCCAACAGGCTGGAGGGGGCCCTGGATCACCACTGGGCTCCTACTCGCTGGAGGCGGGGTCTGCTCGCTCCTGAGAATGGGGAGGGGGTGATTCTGATGACTTTATTTTTTTTGGTTCTTGGTTTTGCGATAAATTTCTGCCCAAGGTTTCACGGAATCTGGCACACGTGGAAGTTGGAGCTCCGTACAGACCTTCTGGGATCAGGCGGGGAGGCAGTGTGGCCACCGACAGGGAGACCCCGCGCCTGTCTCTCCCCTTGGCCTCCTAGGTCAGGGGCATCCCAGACCAGGTCCAGGCGCCCTCCTCTGCACACCCACCCTCTGCTTTAGCTCCAGCCCTCACACACCACCTGGATGATGACCCCAACTCCCCTCCCTAAAATAGTTCCCGTTATTCACCTCTTACCGTGTGCCAGGTGGCTGCTAAACCTTCCAGGTTTTGTTGTTGTTGTTGTTGTTGTTTTTGTTTTTGTTTTCTCTCTGCGGTACGCAGGCCTCTCACTGCCGTGGCCTCTCCCGTTGCGGAGCACAGGCTCCGGACGCGCAGGCTCAGCGGCCATGGCTCACGGGCCCAGCCGCTCCGCGGCGTGTGGGATCCTCCCGGACCGGGGCACGAACCCGTGTCCCCTGCTTCGGCAGGCAGACTCTCAACCACTGCGCCACCAGGGAAGCCCCCTTTCAGGTTTTAACTCTTCTAAGCCCCCTCAAAACCTTATAACGTAGAGACTAATTTTATCCCCATTTTACAGGGAAGGAAACTTAGGCACAGAGAGTAAACTCGCCCAAGACCACATAACAAGGGGCAGAGCCAGGATGTGAACCCAGGCTGTTTCCCAGGCCTACGCTCTAACCACTACCCTATACTGCCACCCTCTACTCTGTCATCCTGGTGTTTTGTTTTGTGTTGTAGTGATTTTCTTTTTTTAGAGAGCAAATCTATGCATGTCAGTTTCCTCCTTAAAGTCTTCAAAGTTCCCCCGTGGCTTTCAGGGTCTCACCTCCACGGCATGACAGGTGAGGCCTTGCGTGATCTGGCCTCCGCTGGCCCATTGCTTGTTATTTCCTCTCACAGTCCCCTGGGCGAGCCTCTGGGCCTTTGCACAGGCTCTTCCCCATCTTGGCAGTCCCTTCCCCCAACACCCACCTGGCTAATCGGTGCTGGTCTTTTAAGGTTCAGCCCAGAGACCACTTCCCTCCCCCTGTCACCTCGACGGCCCCTGTCTCCCCGACCTCAGTGAGGACCCACCCTCCTTACGGTGCTTAGAACTCAGTGTCCTCACTCTCGTTGTCTCTTTACGACTGTTTTGCCCATCAGACTACCGGCTCTACAGGACAAAACAGTAGTTTATTCACCTCTGCATCACCGGAGGCTCAGAGAGTTGCTCCAAAAGGTTTGTTGATACCTGAATCGACGTTCCCCATCCCTCCCGAGGGCTCAGCGGCTCAGATGGAGCACAGAGTAGCGCTTGATAGAAGCTTGTGGCTGAGCCGGGAGGGAAAGCGGCTGGCCGATCGCCCAGACACCCTCCGCGAGGCCCAGGGCGGGTCTGCATTTCCCCCAGGTCTGTGTGAAGGGCTGAAACGCGGACTTGTCCTCACTCGAGCTGTAAGAGGAACACTCCATGCCAGTCACGTCCTGTCCTGGGCCTCGGTTTTCCTTGGAAAGGTCGGCTGTATTCGTTTTCCTGGGGCTGCTGGGGCTTCTGGGACAAGCGACCACGAATGGGGTGGCTTAGAGCAGCGGCAGCGATCCTAAGAGCAGCTCCCTCCAAAGTGCTCTCCGTAAAGTTCAACACACTCCTCCCCCGAGCCCCGAAGCTCCACTCCCAGGTAATCACCCGAGAGGACGGAGCGCGGATGTGCACGCGAAGCTCTGTGTGTGAATGTTTACAGCAGCTTTCTTTGTAACAGGCTGAATCTGGAAACTACCCAAATATCCATCAGCAGGTGGGTGGGTAAACCACGGGCGGTGTGTCCACACAATGAAGGCCTTAGCCCGTGACCCAGAGGAGCTGCAGGCACACGGCGCGGACGAGTGCCCGGTTCACGAGGCGCAGGGAGAGAAGCCGGATGCAAAACCACCACGTGATTCCATTCATGGGCAATTCTAGAGCGGAGGAGACCTGGCTTAGGTGAGGGAGGTCAGCCTAGCGGTTACCTCTGGGGGGATTAAGCGGAAGAGGCTGGACTCTCTCTGCGGGGGTGGGGGACGGGATGTTCTAGATCTTGACTGGGATGTTAGTGATGCAGGTGTAGACGAGTGTCAAACGCAGATCTGTGCGTTTCATTATATGTAGATGACGCTTCCCCTTTTAAAAAGCTCCTTCCGAGGTTTAATCCGGAGGAAACGGCTGAGGCTGCAGCTCTGCCCCCAGGGCGCGCCTCCTCCGCCTAGATTGATCCTTTGCTCACAGCTCCGGGCCGGGGTTTGGAGGCAGCAGGTGAAGCTCTGGGCCCTTGGAATCGCCCCACCTCCAGCTGCCACCTCCTGGCCCTCGCTCTCCTCCCAGGCTCTTATTCCACTGCTGTGGGGATGCCCTGAACAGACTGTAGGCAGGAAGCAGGTTCGAATCCTGAGCGGGGTCTGCTCCCTGCTGCCCTGAGGCCCTTGGCACCCCCTCCCCTTCCAGTCTGGGATTTGAGTGTCTGGACCAGGGAAGGGCAGACTTGGCCTGTTTTCCCAGCCTTGAGCCCGCTGCGGGGTGCTCTGTGAAATGACACCTGTAGAGATGCTAAATCTTAAAATCCTTTCAGATTGCCGCCCTCGGTGAGTCCAGCCTCCTCAGTTCAAACCAAAAGGCTGAGCTATTTTACTATGTTTTCACTCCTCTAAAAACTAAAATCCGAGTAAGGTCTCTGCCAGAGTTCATAGCATCTTCCTTGTGTGGATTCCCTACCTTGACACGTGCTCTGGGTGTCAGAGGTCAGCACTGGGGGAAGCTGGGTGAAGGGTACATGGGATTCAGGAGAGCAGGCAGGACTCTGTACTTTTTTTTTTTTTTTTAGCAACTTCTTGTGAGTCTTAACCTATGCTAAAATTAAAAGTCATAATAAAATGAAAAAACAAACAGCAACAGCAGAATCTCTGGGCTCCTGCCATGCAGGTTGTCCAAGGAAGGAATCTTTTATTAGTGTGTGTGCTTGCATGTCTGTCTGTCTGCCCAGGGGCGTGTGCTTCTCCATGCTTTCCTCTGGCTGAAAGCATCAATATTTTGGGCACATGTGTAATGCAGGATTTTCGTGCACGGGCTCCCAGACTGCCTGGTTTTGAATCTCATATCTACGGCTTACTATCTGTGTGTCCTTGGGCAAGTTACTTAACCTTTCTGTGCCTCAGTTTCCTCATCTGTAAAATGGGCGCTCACAGTGCCTGCCTCCTTGGTCTGTAGTGGGGATGAATCGACTTCTAATAATTGTAAGTGCCTGGCACTTGGTGGGCACTCACACGGCGTGTACGGTCATCTTTGAAGCACGATGCTAGCTTGTGATCAGTCCCCTGGGAGCTGAGCATGACTTGGTGGTGTCCTGTGTCCCCTACTTCATTCGAATCTTCGGGGAACGTTCATAATGAGAGCGCCTTATGTGCCTGGTGTTAAATTCCCAGAGTCGTGAGCACGGTGCCTACAGAATTACCCAGAGCCCAGCCCACCACACCCTTCTCTGTCTATACTGTGAAGAGACCTCCATGAAGGTGGTTAGGGGGACAGAAGAGTCAATGGTGATTTCCAGCCTCTTGAAAGCCCCGAAGCCCCTTCCTATAGGTTTGACTAAATGTGCCCACTTTCCCTCCGCCACCAAAGTTTCACAGGCCTCTAGTTCTTAACATGAAAATTGTTTTGTTTTCAAGCCGCCTGAGATAAAGAAGCAGGCAGGGGATGGGGTGGGGTGAGGGGAGCTGTCACCACAGAATTAAGGGGAGACTCACTGTTCTGGGGGCCCCAGTTAAGCAAGTTCGACCCCTTGTAGCAGAACCCAAGCCCCCTGCCCTAGCTGGCAACCTCAGCCCTGCCTGCGAGGAGAGACCCATCTCAGTGCTCAGAGCTGGATCCACAGTTGATCCCGGCTTTGGTCCTGCCTGTTCTCCTGAGCCATCAGGCTGTGATTCCAGTCTTACGGGGGCGGGGGTAGGGTGAGGTTGGCCCTGGAAGGGCCCCCATCTCCCCTCTCCACGGTGGCTCCCGGTACAAAGCTCCCTTTGATTCTCCACAGCCTGGTTTTCTGGTTTTTTAACAGGAGGTGGGGATTTTTTTTTTCCTCCTCTGGCAGCATGGTGCTGAAATGTTTACACTCGAGGGGTAGAGGAAAGGGGTTCTGCTCTCCTTCAGTGCCTTCAGACATTCCCGGGAGGAAATGAAGTGAAGGGAGATCAGAAAAGGCTGCCTCTGTTCAGAGCCTAGTGGGAAAAGCACGCCATGAACAGCGTGCTCTCACTTGGTCTCCATAGGTCTGTGGTGAATCTATACCCACTAATGTAGGGACCAGAAAGGGACAGGGATCAGGAGAAGGCACAGCAGCCTGACAGCAAGGTTCACGTGCCAGCGCCTCCACTTCCTGGCTGACTCTGAGCCTCAGTGTTCTCATCTGTGAAATGGGAGCAATGACGGTACCTACCATGAGGGCTGCTGGGAGGCTAAATGTGTTCACTGTGCCCAGTGAGCAGCAGCCACACAGGGAGGGCTCGATAAAGCATCACTCTGTGTGTGAGGACGGGCACCACTTGGGTAGATGTTACATTTTCTCAACTGAATATTGGGAAGAAAAACATTAGAAGGGGAGGGACAGAAGTGAGAAAGTAGAGCGTGAAGGAGGGAGGGAGGGAGGAAGGGGGAAGGGGTCCTTCCCATGCAGATGCCCATCAAAGGGGTGCCTGGGGCAGGGGTTGGGGGGGTGGAGGGCTGATAGAATGTCCGTCACAACTACACACTGTCCACCCAGCTTCCTTGAGGGCCGTCCCCAGTGTGGAGAGGGGAGTTCCATACACCAAGAGCAGAAAGGCCACTTTTCTTCCCATTTAAAAAAATTGTCATAAAATACACATGACATAACATTTACCTTGTAAATCCTTTCTAGGTGTGCAGTTCAATGGCATTCACACATCCACCTGTCGTGTAACCATCACCACCGTCTATTTCTTTTTGTCATCATCGCAAACAGAAACTCTGTCCCCATTAAGCAATAACTCCCCATTTTGCCCTCCCCCAGCCCTCGGCAACCTCTAATCTACTTTCTGTCTCTATGAATTTACATATTTGGGGTATTTTATGTAAATAGAATCATACAGTTTCTGTCCTTTTGGGTCTGCCTTCTTTCACAGGACACGATGTTTTCAAGGTTCATCCGTATTGTAGCACGTGTCAGGGCTTCAGCCCTTTTTACGGCTGAATCATATTCCACTGCAGGCATGGACCACATTTTGTTTATCCATCCATCCGTCAATGGACATGTGGGTTGTTTCCACTTTTTGGCTGTTGTGAAAGAAGGCTGTACCGCTGAACACTTCAGCATTCTCGAATCCCCAAATGGTGTGTTGGCTGGTTTCCTACAATGCACACAAGGATGAATTTATTTCTGATCCCCAGAGAAAGCTGCCTCTTCATGAATAAGCATGACATGCCTGGGACAGGACGAGAGCCAACAGCTTGGGGAAAACAGGAGTGAACCATGAAAACAGGTGTCAGGGAGAAAACAAGGCGTGTTGGGGAGTTTGGGGCCTGGGGCTGCCTCGGAGATGTTTATATTCTGAATTCCAAATGCCTGGAATGATTTCTGAATATCAGCTCCTTGGAGAGAGGGAAAGAGGGGTCTCTGAGTAAAAGACTTGAAAAATATTTAGCTCACTGTCAGAACGGAGGACCAGGGAATTGGGGGGGGGGGGGGGGTGGGGGAGGGTGAGGGAAAGGAAAGGATGGAGATCAAATTTCAGGCTGGTTTCAGCTTTATCTTCTCAGCAGTGCGACCCAAAGCTGGGTTATTTGGTGCTAAGAGATTTTATCAATATGGAGGGACCGACCTGAGGCTTTGCCCTTGAAAAGTCTCCCTCCTCCGAAGAATTCAGTGCCTCGTCTGCTTTACTTGCTTTGTGTCCCTCCATCTCTCCCAATCCTGTTCTCTCTTCTGCATTTTTCCCCTCACATTTCTTTTTCTCTCTTTCTTTTTTTTTTTTTTTTTTTGTTTTTTGCGGTACGCGGGCCTCTCACTGTTGCGGCCTCTCCCGTTGCGGAGCACAGGCTCCGGACGCGCAGGCTCAGCGGCCACGGCTCACAGGGCCAGCCGCTCCGCGGCATGTGGGATCCTCCCGGACCTGGGCACGAACCCGTGTCCCCTGCATCGGCAGGCGGACTCTCAACCACCGCGCCACCAGGGAAGCCCCCCTCACATTTTTGTCGCGCTGTATTTCTAACCTCACCGTGTCCCTTGTATATGGCGTGCAGTTGGATTTCGTTTCTTGAATCAGCGTCTGTCTTTGTGTGGCTGAACCAACTTGTGTTTATTTTTACAACGAATACACACTATCTCCCTTCTCTCCTCTTGTTTTAGGTTCTGTTTCAGTCAGCCTTGCAATTTCTACTCTTTAATACCCTTTATCTACGGATACTACTGTCTTCTTTTTCCCTCTAGTGATGTGAAAGATGTCAAACGGTTTTGGTTACACTAATGTCAGCCTTTAAATAAAGAGGATTCAAGTCTCTCTGTAATTATCAAGATCAGGAATGAAACGGTCTCTGTAAAACGAGACGAAGAACATTAAACTAGTTTCCACTTTCTGCTGCCAGTTCCCAGCTTTTGTCTGTATGTAAACTGTGATTTTAGAATATTATTTCTATTTTCAAACATAATGAGATTTTCTTTCAATGACCATTTTTGACCAACATATGTGATTTTGTTGGCGGCCGTACGTTTGCCAGTTACTTAGATCCTGTCATCCATCTCTACCGACATCCTCTTATCTGTTTATCTTTTCCTTCTGCAATCTGGGCAAACCCTTGTTCATTCTCTGTCTCAGATGCTGTCTCTCCTTTGATTTCTCCAAAACACTGGTTTTTATTTAAATTTTTTTCTATTTTTGGCCACACCGCGCAACTTGCCGGATCTTAGTTCCCCGACCAGGGATTGAACCCAGGCCACAGCAGTGAAAGCACTGAGTCCTAACCACTGGACTGCCAGGGAAGTCCCGCCAAAACACTGTTTTAAATAGTCATCGTAGTTTCCCTTTTCTTAAAACGTCCCCTTCTCTTACCCAGATCACTTTCTGTCACTTTGGTTTGTTGTCTCGCTTGTTATCTCTTCTCGTCAAGACTGTGGTCCCGTGAGTTATGCTAGGGGTTGGACTTTTTTCCTGTAGGCCAGTGGCTCCGAAGGCCTCTGAGGACGAGAAGGACACGAGTGATTGTGTTTTACAAGGCACTGGGGCTGCAGTGGCGATGCACACTTCAAGGAGAGGAGAGGTAGCTGGTGGGGGAGCGGGACCAGCTGGGAGGCTGCTGAAGGGAAGGACATGTTATTCTGCCCCCACGTGATTTTGCCAGAAAAATCATACCCGCTCCCAAACCCCTGTAGAGTTATCCTTTGTTTTTTTTGTTTTTTTGCGGTACGCGGGCATCTCACTGTTGGTGGCCTCTCCCATTGCGGAGCACAGGCTCCGGACGCGCAGGCTCAGCGGCCATGGCTCACGGGCCCAGCCGCTCCGCGGCACGAACCCGTGTTCCCTGCATCAGCAGGTGGACTCTCAACCACTGCGCAACCAGGGAAGCCCTCTCCTTTGTTATTTTTAAGTCTTAGTGCATTAGTACAATTATTATCTGATAAACGTTTATCACCTTGTTTCATTTTCCAACATAAAGTCCCAGGCAAAAATCCCCCTCCTCTGCTCTTCTCTATTAAATTTGGTTCCTGGCTGAAGGAGATGACTTCAAGCAACTTTTATTGATACTGGTTTTCTTCGGCTAACGAGAAACTGACAACAACCATAATAGTAGCTGAACTTTTTGAGCACTTTTTACGTGTAAAGCATGATTCCAAGTGCTCGACCTGTATCAATTCATTTAAACCTCAAAACAATCCTGTGAGGCTAAGGTTACACCCATTTCACAGATGGGGAGACAGAGGCACCAAAAGGTCACACAGCTTGAATGCTGCAGAGCTGGGATTCCAAGCTAAGCAGCCCCTGTTCTTAACCAAGAGAACAAACTGTAGAGACTAAATGCCCAACAAATATTAACCCTACATCGTGTTTAATGTGTTGCTGTGGGTCCTCCCCTCATCCCCAATACCACCTCCTGGCAACGGTCCCGTGGGTGCCTCTGAAGGAAGGTTGCCAGATAATACAGGACGCCCGGTTCAATTTGAATTTCAGATAATCAATGAATACTTTTTTAGTTTAAGTGGGTCCCGACTTGTGGACATTTGGGTTGTTTCCAGTGTGGCGCTATTAGGCGTAAAGGTGTAAGCCTTTGTGTGGATATGTTTCCATTTCTCTTGGGTGAACGCCTACCAGCGGGACTGCATCCCGACCAGCTGAGAACAGGCGTTCCAGCTGCTCACATCTTTTTAACATTAATCGCTCTAGTGGCTGAGAAATGGTGGCACCTTTGACTTCTGCCCCACCTACCTCCTTCCCCTGCCTCCCAGCCCTACTCAGTACTTCAGCAATTTGATAGCTGGATTCTTTGAGTCTCACATCCACCCAAACACAGCCCATCAGGAACACATACAGAGGGTTAGAGGGCAACCTGGGCTGCTCAGTGGAGGAAACATTAGCGCGTCCGCTCTCGAGATGAAGGATGTGCAGAAAGAAAGACCTAGACCTTTTTATTTTATGCCGGTGCTCAGGGAGTTGGATTCTCCTGGGAGGTAAGCTCTGGAATGAGCCCAAAGTGATGCAGCTTGAGTGTGTGTCAGACACTGGTCTGTGTCGAAGGGGAAAGAGGATGCAGAGAGAAACGGCACGCCCCACTCCCGCCTCAGGGCGCAGACTCAAGTGTGAGGGGCACACTCCCTGCTGGCCCTGGTGCTGCCCAGCCTCTCCCCAGTCACTGGGCCCCCTCTGTTCTCTTCCAACGATAATGAAGCTGGTGTTTACTGAACACCTGTTTACAGCCCGGTGCTCTGCTCAGGGCTTCAAGTCCGAGATCTCACTTAATCCTCTTCGGCCCCTGAGATGGGTACTATTATTGTCCCAACATACAGAGGAGGGGAAGGGAGGCACGGCGTACCGTAAAGGCCCAAGGTTATACTTGGCCAAGGTCATCCTGCCAGGGCGGGGCACTCTGTCTCAAATCTCCTTTCTTAGCCATTTCCATGCTCTGCGTGTCCACCTCACCTTCCTCTCTAGGGACCCCAACCTCTCCTGCCTCTTACCTCGATGGAGGTCGTGGCACCAGTTCAACCCGTTATGGAGGCAAAGCTTTTGTCCCAGAGCTGATGTGACAGTTCCAGCATGATCAATATTTTGCCTGAGATAGGTCACCGGGGGCGAGAACCCAGGGTCTCAGGGTCTGTGCCTGCGAGGACGGGGCCTCCGAGAGTCGAGGTTCCTCACGTCACCCACCTGGGAAGATAGGACCACAGAGGCAGATTTTCAGTAAGATGAGGGTTGACTTTGCTGTCTACCAAACTGGGCAACAGAAGCAGGATGGAGGGCCAGCATTCAGAGATGTGTGCTAGAGACCAATGGGGGTCTCTCCTGTGGGTCGCTCTGGCCAACCACAGAGAAGCCAGTGAAAGATGGGAGCAGAGACGGGGCCGGTCAAAAGCGAGATCGTTCCTGCCTACATCCACTCTCTAACCCCCTAGTTTTCCACACTTGTGGGGCCTTATTTCTGTTCTTGGAAACATTCCAGAATCCTCCCAAGCTGGGTCAGTGCATCACGTGATGCCTCCTGCCTTAATCTGCTCTCCAAGGAGACCCAGTTAGAGCCACACTTTCCTCCCTGTTCCCTTTCTCAGGTGCCTTAGCTGCTCGGTCAGTAACTCACTCCACAGTACCTAGTTGTGTTGTTTATAAAGGCCAGCCTGCTCGGGGATCTCTATTCATTGGTTCACCATGAAGCCTTTTACAAGAGAACTGGAAAGAATTTCTTGGAGGGAAAAGGGGTGGGGGCAGAGTCATAGTAAATTTAAGTTGAGGTCCCTCCCCCAGCCCCCTCTCCTTTTCTTCATTCCTTAGGCCATTAAAAGCACTAAAGACTGCATGTTTCTGAGCAGTCTTTCCTAGTTATGGGCCCAGGGCCAAGGGGCGTGCGGCAGATTTTCCCTTATAAATTACTGTATTTTAACATAGACAGTGAACTGAACACGGTGGAGCTGCCGCGCTCGCTGGGTCTTCCACGCAGCGTTTGTAACTTAAAATTTTATAAAGGGTTGGAGCAAATTCTTAGTTAATAAGGGTTGGAATGCAGCAGAAACGACTCAAACTGCAGGCAAAATGGCAACTCGGCAGCCGGAAAAGAAATGAACATCAGGTTCTCAATCCTGTTATCTTTTCTTTTTTTTCTTTTCCCTATAGGCTGTTACAAGATCCTGAATATGGTTCCCTGTGCTATACAGCAAGTCCCTGTATTTTATCTCTTCTATATACAGTCATTTGCATCTGCTAATTCCAAACTCCTAATTTATCCCTCTCCCACCTCGCTTTCCCCTTCGGTAACCGTAAATTTGTTTTCTGTGCCTGTGGGTCTGTTCCTGTTTCATAAATAAATTCACTTGTGTCAGGTGTTAGATTCCACCTATAAGTGATATCATATGGTATTTGTCTTTCTCTGTCTGACTTACTTCACTTAGTATGATCATCTCTAGATCCACCCATGTTGCTGCAAATGGCATTATTTCATTCTTTTTTAGGGCTGAGTAGTATTCCACTGTATATATATACCATATCTTCTTTATCCATTCATCTGTTCATGAACACTTTCTTTATCCCTGTCCAAACTACATAGTTAACCCACATTTGCCTCATTGTTCTCCTTGATCATGTTTCAAAAACCCAAACACCTCAATCCTATAAAGCAGGAAGCAACCCTATGAAGCACTATGTCTTGATGGTCAAAATGTGGTTCTGAGGACAAACCCTTCAGCTTCACAATCTCTTCTCTGTAGTCTATTAGCTTTAAGACTTCAGGTGTGTTACTAAGAAGACTCAGTGTCAACAGCTGTAACATCAGTCGATTTGGTTATAGAAGCCTGAACTAAGACAGCAGTTTTTCTCAAACTTTTCATCATGACCCACATTTAGGAAACTCTATATCTCAAACCAGGCGGCACACACAGACACACACACACACACTCACATACACACACATTCCTGATATAAAAGTTTCATGAATCCATGCTTAGTCTTACTATGTGTGATGCGCTCTAATACTTTGTTTCCTCGTCCCCTTTCTTCATGGCACAGTGGACTTGGGCTCACTAAATTGACTTCAATCCTCTCTAATGGGCACCACCCTCATTTTGAAAAAAATAACTGCCCTGGAGAAACAAGGAGACACGGATACGAGTATTCCTAGCAGCTTTGTTCGCGATAGGAAAACAAACCAAAGCACCGTAAACCACACCAGGGAACGGCTTAAGGATCCGCCAACAGGAGGATCGATAAATACCTGATACGACGTTCAAACAAGGGGCTATTATACTTAGTGAAAATGAATGAACTAACATAACATGTATCAACGTGGATGAACTTACAAAGACAATACTGAGTCAAAGACACAAGTCATGGAAGAATGGATACAGTACTATATATATATAAGCATATATATGTACATATTATATATGTATATATATAATAATATGTATATATATATATATATGCTTAAACACATACAATGTATAGTGTTTAAGGAGATATTCATCCATAGGTAGAAATGTTTAAAAAAATGCATAGGATCAACTAACACCAATTTCAGGATAATTGTTAACTCTGGTGAGACACCAGGATTTCAGTTGTTTGTTTGGTGATGTTTTCTTTCTTAAGCCAGTGGCAGGCATGTGGCTTTTGTTATATTCATCTTGAAATCTTCTTAATCATCTCTAGTTTTAATTTTTTCAAAAATCAAATGAAAGATAACAGGATTGAGAAGCAACCTAAGTGTCCATTGACAGATGAATGGATAAAGAAGATGTGCTATATATATACAAGGGAATATTACTCAGCCATAAAAAATGAAATATTGCCATTTGTAACAACATGGATGGATCTAGAGTTCATCATACTAAGTCAGACAAAGACAAATATCATATGATAGCACTTATACGTGGAATCTAAAAAATAACACAAATGAATCTATTTACGAAACAGAAACAGACTCACAGACATAGAAAACAAACTTATGGTTACCAAACAGGAAAGGGAGGGAGGAGGCATAAATTAGGAGTTTGGGATTAACAGATACACACTGTTATATATAAAAACAAGGATTAACTGTATAGCACAGGGACCTATATTCAATAACCTATAATGGAAAATAATCTGAAAAAATATATCTGTATAACTGAGTCACTTTGCTGTATACCTGAAACTAACACAATATTGTAAATCAACTATACTTCAATAAAAAAATTAAAAATAAAAGAAAGTTCCTTCTTCCCTGGAAAGAAGAAGGAAGAAACGATACAGTTGTAGTGCGTTGTGAGGAAATGCAGATTCATCGTTTGTCTACATTTACCCAACAATCAACAAAAAAGGAAAGTAAGTCTGTTAGAAAAAAACATAAAATGCATCCCAAGAAATGCCTTTTTTTAAAAAAAATTAATTTATTAATTTATTTATTTTTGGCTGCATTGGGTCTTCGTTGCTGCACGCAGGCTTTCTCTAGTTGTGGCGGGCGGGGGCTACTTTGTTGCGGTGCGCAGGCTTCTCATTGTGGGGGCTTCTCTTGTTGCAGAGCACGGGCTCTAGGTGCGTGGGCTTCAGTAGTTGTGGCATGCGGGCTCAGTAGTTGTGGCTCACGGCTGTAGAGCACAGGCTCAGTAGTTGTGGCGCACGGGCTTAGTTGCTCCGTGGCATGTGGGATCTTCCCCGACCAGGGCTCGAACCTGTGTCACCTACATTGGCGGGCGGATTCTTAATCACTGAGCGACTAGGGAAGTCCCAAGAAATGCCTTTTTAATGATTCACCTTTGAACATCAACATCATAACTCCTGTATTAGTTTCCTAGCGCTGCCACAATGACACACTAAGTGGTTTAAATAACAGAAATTTATCGTCTCACAGTTCTGGAGGCTAGAGGTCCAGGATCAAGGTGTTGGCAGGGCCCTGCTCCCACTGGAGGTGCCAGGCTCCTGTCCTGGCTTCTGGTAGTTCCTGGGCTTGTGGCAACTAACTTCAGCCTTCACAGGGCCATCTCCCTGTTTGCATGTCTGTGTCCAAATTCCCCTGTTTATAAGGACACCAGTCATATTGGATTAGCACCGCCCTACTCCAGTATAACTTCACCTTGACTAATTGCATCTGTAAAGACCGTACTTCCAAATCAGGTCCTATTCTGAGGTGCTGGGGGTTAGGACTTCAACCTATGAACCTGGGGAGGGGGACACAGTTAACCCATCACAACTTCTCTTTACTACAGAATGATATAGTGTCGACTTCAACCAGTTTATCCAACTTATCCTTGGTGAGTGCCAGAGGGCCATGGAAACTGAGACGAATTCATTACTTACAATTCTCTATGGTGTTAAGTTCCCAAGTTCCTATTCTCTGTCCGATTCCCCTGTAATATGTGTGTGCAGACAGGCCTGCCCATGCATGCACACACATGCATATATGCACACACTCACACACCCGTACCCACACAAGGTTAAAAAGCCCGTGGAGTTACGAATAAGGTTAAAGTGAGGGGGAAAAGCATAACCTGGAAAAACTGACTTTGGATTTTAACCAATCCCCCAGCGTTTGAAAAATAGCGTGAGGATTTCAGGGAGTCCAGAGCGGCCCCCGACGCCCGGGACCTTGCCTCTCGGTTTTGCTCCAATTCTCTAGCACAAGGGCCCAGTGTGGGTGGGTGGGATGTCTGGGGCAAAGACACAGATACTATTATTCTGGGCTTCTCCTCGTGCTGGCAGCCACAGCTCCCACCGCCCCCCGAAAAGCCAGACTGTAGGTTCAAACCAGAGGTGTAATTGATGGCCTGGAGTGGCAAAGATGCCCCATCGCCCTCAAAAAACTACCACTTTGTTTCTGCGCTAGAGCAGGGCAGCCCAGACGCCCACCACGCCAGCAACTTCCCAGATCTCGGCTGGTCGAGGATCTGTTACCCACCCTCAGGTTAGGAAAGGTGCCCCAGGCGAGCGTTTGAAGAGCTGGGGGAAGAGCTCTGGACTTTTTCTCTCTTCAAAATTTTGCTTCAGCTGAGAACATTCATTTTTAACTCGTGTTTTTCTAGTTGGTGAAACAAAGTGGGGTTTTTGCCAAAGACCGACTCCGACTCTTAAGAATCTAAACTTCTAGAGATTAGGGACCCTGTGTGAATTTTCTTTTTTGTTCACAGTATTCCTTGTAATTTTTTTTTTTTTTTTTGGACCAGGTGGAGGAAAATAACTGGTGTCTGCTAATACCCCTTGTGATGGCTGGAATCATTCTGAAGCACCGTCCATGCTTGTCTAACTTCTCTCTCGGCCCCAGTTGCCATCTGTCTACATCTGGCACAAACGCCTCACTTTGGTCTCCAAGGCGCCCTCACGGGTTCCCGCAGATCCACCAAGTGTGAATTTCCACGCATCACCTTCCTTGGCCAGACTTTTCTTTCTCCTGGGTTCTCAGTCCGCCAGCCCCGCGCTAGATGCGGCCCCCTCTCTGTCATGTCCCGTGTCTCGTTCATTACCAGGTGGTGATCATTTTATTGCCTAATCTGTGCCTGCTTCTCATCCCTGTCTCCACCCGCTGACTTAGGCTCCTATTATGTCTCAATCACAGATGTTGAATCAGATGACATATGAGATTAGCTCACTGTTCCAACAACAATCTCAAAATCTAAGTGGTTTGACAGCAATGAAAATGTGTTGCTCACTCATGCGGACATAGGTTGGTCTTTGCTCTCGTGAGCTAGGGGCCCAGATGCCTTCAGTATTGTGGCTCCATCCAGCATCCTCTGCTGAATCTTCTGTGTTCAGCCGGGAGACTGGAAAGTGCTTGGAGCTTCTCTAGGGACGTTTTAGGGGCCAGGCCTGGAAGTGCTGGCATCATTCTTGCCCAGAACTAGTCACATGACCCCACTGATGGGGCAAAGGGTTCTGGGAAATGTAGTCTTGTTGGGGGGGGCACCCAGGAAGGAAAGGAGCACAGGGATATAGGGGCAGCTGGCAGTCTCTGTCACCAAGCCCTCAAATTCACCGTCCACCACACAAAGTGACTCATAGAAGATGCCAGGATGGACGGCGCATCCTTCAGGGACTCTCTCATCACTTGCTAGATGCCGAGCCAGCTTCTTAAAATGGCATCAAAGTCCCTCCAGACCCACATCCTGCCTCTTTGGTTTATGTCACAATATCCCCAACACCTCCCTACCCAGGAAGTGTCTCTCAGCCTCTCTTCTCTCACAGCACAAGTCCGGCCACGCTCCGACCTGGCCCCCAGAACTTGGGTGGTCTTCACTGCCCCTTCACCCTCTCTCCCAGCGCGCCCCACCTCCACCTCACTCACTCATTCGGGAGATCGTCTTAGAAGCTGATGGTGAGTCTGCTTCTCTCTCCAGACGGAGAGCTCCTGCAAGGCAAGGATGGTGTTTAATCCTTGTGAGTTTCCCTGTCTACTGCTCCCCACCCAAAATGCTTAATAAATGTTGATGGAGTGAATGGAGACCGAGAAAGGGCCCCCTCCCCGTACAGGCAGGGGATATCCAAGGCGGGGCCAGCATCACCTTCCAGGCCCCCATCCCCCCTGCAGCCTCCACTTCCCCGAGGCTCTGAGATTCAACTTGCCTTTATTTCTAAATGTAAAATTTGAGAGGCTAGTTGTTGCTTGAGAAAACTGGCACTGTGTGCTTTCATTTCTTAGGGGGCTGGGACCCTCAGACTTGGAGATGTTGGGATTTGCTGACAGGGCCTGGACGGCTCTCTCTCCCTCACATTAAGAAGCCAACTCGTGAGAAACCAACTGGCTTGGCCTGGCTTGCTGTAATCCTGTGGCCTTGCAGCTTTCGGAATTGGGTTTATTTATTCATTTAAATTGCATTCTGGCATTTACTCGTGTTTGTTCTCTCCATAAAGACCTTTTTATTTTGGTCCCAGAGAGCTGTTTATTGCTTAGCACATGTGGCAGAAGAAGATGATTGGACTGGAGATGCTAATTTTGCTCTCTCCAGGGACCGTGGGCTGGAGGGGCCCCAGGATGGGGCTCTGCCCCCACACAGGGCACCTCTTGCCTCCAGGCCACTGGGAAGGGCTCCATCCAGAATAAAAACAGCCATCTGCAAACAGGAATGTCCTCATGTCCCACATGCAAGGAGGTTAGAGATGAAGATAGAGGCAGCCTCCACCACCCATCTCCAGGAAGTTGCAACCTCTCAGACACCCTTTGGGAGAAAGCTGGATTGCCGTAATAAAAAGTACGTGTAAAAAAAAGAGCATCCCTAAGTTTGTTTTTTGTTTTGTTTTTTATTCTAAAAGGTTGAGAACGATGAGACTGGGCAAGAGGCACGTGAGATAAAAGTCACTGGCTACGTTTTAAGATGGTTTTGGCCCGAGGGGCTGAGCGGAAGCTGGGTTTGCCAGGGATCCTGAAAGGGGGTAGATGGATCAAAAGTGGAGGAGCGAACCCACCATCCAGAGATCGCACTCCGTGATATTTACCCAAAGGAGTTGAAAACTTACGCTCACGTGAAAACCTGCACATGGATGTTTATAGCAGCTTTATTCCTTCAAACTTAGAAGCCACCAAGATGTCCTTCAGTAGGTGAATGGATAAATAAACCCTGGTACGTCCAGACAATGGAATATTATTCAGTGCTTCCAAGCTATCAGGCCATGAAAAGATGCGGAGGAAACTTAAATGCATATTACTAAGTAAAAGAAGCCAATTTGAAAAGGCTATACCCTGGAAGATTCCAACTCTATGACATTCTGGAAAAGGAAAAACTATGGGGACAGTAACAAGATCAGTGATTGCCAGGGGTTAGAGGGTAGGGAGTGATGTACAGGTAGAGCACAGAGGATGTTTAGGGCAGTGAAAATACTCTGTATGAGACCATAATGGTGGATACACGTCATTCTACATTCGTCCAAACTCACAGAACGGACAACACCAAGAGTGAACTGTAATTGTACACCACGCATGTTGGGTGATGATGATGTGTCCATGTAGGTTCATCAGTTGTAACAAATGTACCACCTGGTGGGGATGTTGATCACGGCGAGGCTGTGCCTGTGGGGGGCAGGGGGCACATGGGAAATCTCTGTACCTTCCCCTCAATTTTGCTGGGAACCTAAACTGCTCTAAAAAAAAAATGAAGTCTTGAAAAAAAAAAGTAGAGGAACGGAATGTAGGCACTCATGTGAGTTGCAAAAGAAAGGAGAGAAATTGGACGGTAAGTAGTAAAACAAGTCCAAATAAAGGTACTTTTCCCTTGAGAACTGGGGGAGACCAAGCATCTTGGAAGATGGAAGCGTTCACAGGGAAAGAGGACCAGGTGCTACCAAGGAGGGATCAGAGAGAAAACCAACCTCCGAAGGAAAGTAAAAGGAGTCAGACTTAAGAGTAGGTGAAAGGAAGGGGGTTCAAGATGAAAAATAACGTTTTATTTATTTATTGAAGGCTTGCAGTATGGCAGGCAAGGCACTAAGCACTTTACACGTAACACCTCTTTTAATCCTCATAACAGCTCCCTGATGTGGACACTATTATAATACCCATTTTCCAGATGACGAAGGCGAGGCTCGCACAGGTTAAGGGATCTGTCTGTGGTCACACTGGGTGGATTCAGAATGGGATCTCATGTGGCTCCATCAGAAGGGAAACATCTCACCCACCAAGGATGGAGGAAGGACCCTCTGGAGCAGCTCCAATGGAAACAGGATAAGAGCCAAAAACGCAAGGCGCAAATGCGAACCACGTGGGTATTTTAAATTTTCTAGTAGCCACGTGAACAAGGATAAAAAGGAACAGGGGACATTCGTTGTAATGTATTTTATTTAACCCAATACATCTAAGCTATTATGCTTACAACATGTAATCAATGTAGACAGATTATTAATTAGACACTTTACATTATTTTTTCATCCTAAGCCTTTGAAACATGATGTACCTTACAGTGTGGATCAAGTGCTCAACAGCCACCCGTGGCCAGTAGCTACCTTGTGGATGAGTCAAGGGCAAGAGAATGAGTCCTGTAGGAAGTGCTAAGCCGTACGTTGCGGACATAAAATAACGGGTCTCCTGGTTGGTTTCAAGTCCAAGACTTGTTATATACTTTTAAAAAATAAACTTTTAAATGTGAATAACTTTAGATTATGATGTTACATCCCCGAGCAGGCCCTCAGACTTGGTTTCCTCATCATCCTTCTTTCCTGGCTTTGTACCTTTCACACAGACAAGGTTTTGCCAAAACGGTTGGCTTAAGCCAACGGCGTCTGCTTTGGAGACGGAGACTTGCCCGGGGCAGGCCTTGCCGTTGTTTTCCTAGATCCCGGTGTGACCTGTGGTGAAAAAGCGCCCCGATGTAGTCTGTAGGTCTTCTGCCCACTGGGGAGCACTTGGCAATGCCACGGGCATTCCTGGCAGAGAAGTTGGGGAGGGAAATCGTTCTCTACGTTGATCTCTTGATCGTCTTTCCTATCCCCCCCGCTTTGGCACTTGAACAACAAGCCACCGCTTCCCAGGCAACGGCTACGAGTGCGTTTGTCTTGGCACCTGGATGAGGCCCCCTGAGCCTCGGTCATGCTTCTATTCTTGCTGCTTGAGGGGGACTCACTCACTGAATTCTGGGTCTTTTCTAAGTGCCTAACTCAGAGTAAGCAAATACATAAAAGGGAAAAGGAGTTTTAGAACATGTATTTGTGGGCCACTCAAATATAAAATACAGGGGCTTCCCTGGTGGCGCAGTGGCTAAGAATCCACCTGCCAATGCAGGGGACACGGGTTCGAGCCCTGGTCCGGGAAGATTCCACATGCCGCGGAGCAACTAAGCCGTGTGCCACAACTACTGAGGTTGTGCTCTAGAGCCTGCGAGCCACAACTACGGAGCCCACGTGCCACAGCTACTGAAGCCCATGCGCCTAGAGTCCACACACCACAACGAAGAGTAGCCCCCGTTCACTGCAACTAGGGAAAGCCAGTGTGCGGCAATGAAGACCCAGTGCAGCCATAAATAAATAAATAGATAAATAAATTTATAAAACTATATATATAAAATACAACTTGCTCAGCCACAGATACTTTTCCTGGAGAAGTTGAGCAAAGCCGTAAGAAGATTTATCTTCCTGACAGGGGACAGCCCTGACCTGTCTGTTTCCAGCCTAGTGGACATTGCAGAAGGGGGCTGGTGCTTTGGCAAGACAGGGGTTCCCTAATGTTCTTGAGAAGCTTTACCTCTAACACTGTTTGTGGTGCCCTTGGGGTATTTCAAGCATTGAGGCAATTTCAGGTTGGCTCATTTATGTGATAGTGATAGTGGAGGTGATGGTGGTGATGGTGGCAGTGATGGTGGTAAAGACTGTGGTCGTGGTGAGTTCCACAAGGTGTGAATTGTCCACAAGGTGTGAACTGTCCACAAGGTGTGAACTGTCCACAAGGATAGGTCGTGTCTTTCATTTTTGTATCTCCAACTTAGAATTTAGCTCAATAGCTGCTTATTGAATGGGAGGCAGACACTGTAATTAAATAATTAACTGGGAAAAGAGGATTGCTCAGAGCTACCAGAGGACTAAATGGGAAACCAGGCATAGGTCTAGAGCCTTAAGTTAGTAGAGAAAATTAAAGTCTAACCAGACAGGAAAAGAGAAGGAGAAATTGAACATTTACACCCCTGTTCCCAATACCAGCTTCCCAGAACCAGGGAAGGATACATAACACATGGAATTCCAGCTCATGTGGTCATCATAGCAGTATCTCAGGGTGAAAAGTAACCAGACAAGCAGACGTTTGGTAATTTTCTATGATTACCCAAGGCCCTGAAACTCACACTCAGTTTCATCAATAATTTCCAAATTTTAGCCCTTTGTTTATCACTTTCAAATTTTTTGCCGTATCAGTGTACCACCTATACCGGGGATCAGTGAACTTTTCCGTAAAGGGCCAGATGGTGCATATCTCAGGCATCGTGGGCTGGACGGTCTCCATTGAAACTACTCAACTCTGCAGCTGTACTGTTAAAGCAACCAGAGCAATATAATGTGTCAATGGTGGGTGTGGCTAAGTGCCAATAAAACTTTATTGACAAAAAACAGGCTGCAGACTGGATTGGGCCCAGGGCCACAGTCTGTAGACCCCAATTCATACTACTATTTACAAAGTATATTAAGGACTCAGTGTAAGAATAAATAAAGTAAAATAAATTAATCTACATTTCTTTTCATATCAATCCTCTAAATGGAAAACCATGCCATGCACACACAACTGCAAAAGTAAATTCGATGAGAATGAAACAAGGTTATTAAATTCTAACCAGGTGGATGGACTGTGTAAGACTTGCAGCCCGAAGCCTAACCTTTCTTGTTAAAAAAAAAAAAAATTAGGAAGTTCTAGAGAGGCAAGACTCATTAGCGCCAGGC